TATTTATAAACATATATACAATTTATATATATATATAAATTTATATCTTTATATTAAAATGAATTTCAACATTTTTTGGTAAACAATGTTTAATAAACTGTAATACAGGAAGATGTTGTATTGAATATAGTATTAAAATGTTTTGGTACCTAATAGTTCAAAAATTGTTTTATTTAATTGAGACCAACTGGCCTCATTGCTTCTTATAAACTTTGCAATATATATTCAGTAAAAAGGAATAAAAATGAACACATGTTTCTCCTTAAGGAAGGCAGACAAAGATTTTCTTACACAATAAATCAGCTGCTAGTGGATTTCCAGGACATTGCTTCAGGCTAGCTATTTAGGTATAAAACTTAAAAAAAAAAAAAAAAAAAAAAAGATTTACCTCTGTGTGGATCCAAAATTGGTAGAGGAGATTGAACTGAAGATGAACAGCATATACTGAAGGGGGTATGAACAGGGCCAGGGGAGAGTAGAATATCTGAAAGAGTAAAAATTTTTAAATTTGCACGTATAATTTCTCAACATAATGTCTACTGCTACTAATGGTTAAACATTCTGAGCATATACTTCAGCAAATACACCTTATTCTTTAGCAAATATGCTTTATTCTGTATATTTTATTGCCACATTTGGCTTTGCAACATTAATTTTCCACATGATGATGAACTTGCAGACATATTCGAGCTAAGTCCACTGGACTTCTATTTTGCATTTAATGTTGTCTAGTTAAAATATCATAGGTGGTGTGTTATTTCCTTAATCTTGAAAAGGTTGGATGAGTTTCCTGGAAGTAAAGAGATTTTTTTATATACACACAAATACTCACCTTCTCTAAGCAAAAGAAATCTAGGGTCTTGTGCCTTTAGACCTTGACAGCTCCCAAACTCTGTATTATTACTGGCATTCTTAGTAGTAAAATAAAATTATAATAAAGGAAAGTGATTTCCTATGAGGAGAGGATAGAATACATTTTCCCTTTTAAATTTGTTTTTATGTGGTTGATTGAGGGTGCAACATCTCCTAATTTTTTCAAAGTTAACAAGGAAGGGGCTATAATATAGTGCCACATTGGAAATAAATTTTAAAGGTCTGTATTTCCTAACAGACGGAAATGCCTCTGCCTTGGAAAAACAACTTATGCTTAAACTGCAGAACTGGTTAGAATCAACTAATAAGCACAATCTGCTGTGTTCTTCCAATGACTTTGATCCCCAAAAGTGGTTGCGCGTTGTAAGAAAACATCTTATTAAATGAAAAACTAAACAACCAAATAGTAATAAGAATCTGACTTCCACTTTACATTTCAGATTTTGTAGAGTTAATATTTCCAAAAGACTAGATATTTAAAAACATTTCTTCTGAATGTTACAACTTTATTTCTAAATTATTTTAAAGCTTTTGTTGTCAATTAGGCCAAATATCATTTCAACGATGTTTAGTAATGAGTATGCATTAGAAATTGGACATTTATTTTATAAACTCTTCTGTTTTTGTTTCCAACCTTAAGTCATGAAAAATCTCAACTGTCATCAGAAGCAGGATCAGTTTCATTATTTATAAATTTATTATTAAGCAATGGATTAGATTAGTGAGCAGCAAAAGAATACTGGGCTCTCATTCAAGACATCCACTTTTAAGTCTTTGTTCCACTACAGAATCTCTCCGTGATATTCACAAAGTTCTTAAACTTCTCTAGGCTTCAGTATCCTCAAATGAATGGTGAAGGGAAAAGCTATATGAAAACTAGCCATCCTTTTGGTTCCAAAAGATCTATGATATTGTGATTTGATTTTTTTGAAATACATTAAAATGCTTCTCTTACGATAGGTTAATAAAAATATTTAAAACACATATATGACCTATGATTTAAGTATTGTGAGTTAAAAAATATTTTGGAATCTTTGAGATGTGAATAAAAATGTAAACCAACTTATCTTGGATGCTTAATAAATAGTTCTATTTGGAAAGAAAGCACATACCGGATGAATATTTATAGTTCATTATAATTCCCCAAAGTGTGGCCTGATAGTCCTTTGAGATAATAACAGCTATTATGGAAAAGAGGGTTCTATAGTCAAATAAGTTGTGAACTGGTTAGTTAAACAAGTGAAATTGCTTTACTGCAGAACTTCTCAGAGCCTTTACCATACTAGTGCGAACCAGAAGCCTATTAGCCCATAGAATATTTTCTTAGTGAATTGTCCATAGGATTAAATATCCTAAAAACACATTTGATGAAACAATGTCTCAAATCCTATGAATCAGTAAATATAATGATGAACTGACTATTAAAAAAATGAGCTCAGCATGAATTCCAAAAAATCACTTTTCTAATAAGAAATAAAGATATAGGTCAGGGAGTAAGTCATGTGAATCACATGAAAGTTAATTTCTTGTGATTAATATAGTACTATAAAAAGAATCTAATGGTACCATAAAGGTTCTAATTTCTAGAATTGAAATCAGCTTAGTAAACATTGCCCGAGTCTGAGAATTCTCACTCATCTTCTTCTCTAGCTTCAATCAACGCATTATCAAATCCTCTACAGTTTTTAAAATCAATTTAAATGCCACTTCCATCATAAAGCCTCAAATGGTACTAATTTCACAGAATACATTTATTCTTCCTCAAACTTAAACTCTCAGTACCTGCGTCAGGAGACCTTATTATACTGTTTGCCAAATATATCCATTTCTGTCATGCGTTCAAAGCCATGTCATTCTGACTCTAAGGCTTTTTAGCTTTACATTACATTGTCTACTCTAGGTTATTTTATTATCTTTTGATAGAAGTCATATATAATAGGGTCATAAAGGAGAGAAATAACCCAGACCTGCATATGTGAGGAGAGAATGAGGATAGGCCTACAGGTGACCTTAGGCTAATGGACAAAAGATGAGTTGGTTTTATTCTGTTCATCGAGTGAACAGGGCAGGTAAGGGCTGTGTGAGGGGACATCGTGAAGCAAGAAGCAACATTGCATTTAGAGGGAACTATAAATATTTCAGCATTGCTGAAGGTGTTGGAGAGTGTGGCAAGAGATTGGTTTGGACCATGGGATTCGTAGATAGATCTCAGGGAGTCCATGAACCCCCTTGACATCAGTACAACAAAGTGTGAGCCCATGTGCATGGGAGCATGTGCAATTTTCTGAAGAAACAATCTATAGCTTTCCTCAGGGAGTCTCCAGGAGGTAATCTGGATATTCGTCAAATCAACCAGAGGGGAACTTTTTAATGCCATTCTAAGGGAGACTGAATTTATCCTAGGCCATGAGGGGGCAGTTAATGTTTTTTCAAGCCTGTAAGAAATATAAAAATATGTTTGTAATCTATTTCAATAGCCCAGTGAAAAATCAGCCACATTGAACTACAGCAGTAGCCATGAGGTGGAGAGGCAGAATATATACAAGAGTCTAAAGATTTAGTAACTATTTAAACATAGACAGTGAGAGGACAGAGGAGTATTAGAAGATACCCAGATTTCTGGCTTGTGTGTTGGGTGACGTTGTTCACTAAGACAGTGAACAGGAGGAAGAATAGGTCTATAAAGCTCAACGTAGGGAATATTGTGTTGGAGTCCTTCAGGTATATCCCAAGGAAGCTGTTGAGTAAGCAAATATGTTGCGCAAATATCAATCATCTTTGAACTGATGGATGTGTCCCCAGTGGGGAGAGAAGTAAAGCTGGTAACTCCGTGGACAGTCAGAAGAAGAGCTCAGCAAATTACACTGGAACAAGGCCAGACACAGAAGTGGGAAAGATCCAGTATTTAGTGTCATCAGAGACAAGTGAGAGATTTTTAAGAAAGAGGAAAATAGATGACTCCCAATGAGTGTCCAAGCAAGACAGGAACTGAAAAATGACACTGGATTTGCAGGTAAGGATCAGCGGAGCAGTAGGCCTGGAATCTAGACCTCAGTAAGTTTCAGAATCACTCCGAGAAGGTGATGAGACAGAGGTAGGGATTACTTACTTCTCTCTTTCCCTGAGAATAAGAAAGGAAAGAGCTGGAGGTATTCCTCAAATAGAACACATGGATGGGGGAGGAGATTTTACTTACTTTTTTTAAATGTGAGAGACATGAATGTATCTATGGCGTATTCAGAAAGAGCCAGTTGAAAGGAAGGAGAACAAATGACAAGAGTCGCTGATCAGATAAAGTTCAAGAGAAGAGCTAAGGTAGAAAGGAGCAATGTCACCAAACTAAGGATTAGATCTGCTGAAGAGAGGTGAGTGTTTTCTATAAAACTAGAGGTAAGAAAACATGTGCACTTTCACAAGTCTTAATGAAGATATGTGAACAGAAAGTAGAGATAGGTAAAATCAGGAAAACTCATAGTTCTCTGTGAAGTTTTAAATATGTTCATTGGCTAACAGAAAGGGGCAGCAGTGGAGAAGAGATTTTGAGAGACTATGGAATTCTGGAAAGGCTTCTGTCAGATCAGGAGGAGGTTTACGTTTATGGCTTGGTGAACAGCTTTGACAACTCAGCTGGGTCTGGAAGCCATACCGGGAGGGACACCAAACTGCCCAGCTGGTGCTGGAGGACAACCATGGCTCTCAGCAACTTGGGTGTGGGAGTGAAGTAGGTGGGTGACCAGATTCAAGCATGGTTTGTTGATTTCAGAGCAGAGGTAACAGAAGGAGGTCAACTGCGCTTTCCAGAGTCATGGAAAGTAAGCACCTTAGGTTGGATGATGTAGGAAGTAAAACCATGGAAGATGACAAACTGGAAGGAAAAGCAGGGGTTGAGAGAGAGCTGTCCATGAGTAGCCTGCTAAGAAACATGATTGAAGCTCAAGTGTATAATTATTTTAAAGAAATGAAAAAAAATCTTTTGAGCTCCAGGATTCACATCTACTTTATTTTCTTAAAGTAGTTTATCTTTACTAATATATGCACTTCTATGATTCTCATTTACTTTTACAATATTACTTTAAAGAAAAAAATTTTTCCTTCAGAATTGAGAAACTAAGGATTGAAAAATCAAGGACTGTCCCACATTCCTTAAAGTAATGACAGAACCAAATTTTCTGATTGCGGATGGAGACTTCTGATCTCTATTCTTAAAATGCATCTAGTTAAACTGTACATTTGGAAGAAGTGTTTGTGTTTCTACTTAGAAAATCCTTATCTTTAAGTAACCTAGGCCTGTCTTTCTGTTCCCATGTTTATGATCTTATCCATGTCCCATTTTCCCCATTCCACCTTCCTAAACATCCTATATACTCTATACCCTAGATATTTTCTATATATATACTATATATATATCCTACATATTCTATATTTTATACATCCTATATATTCTAGCCATGCTTATACTGTAATGGGTTGAATTCTGTCCCCTCAAAAGGTATGTGAGGCCCTAGCCCCCCAGTACCTCAGAATGTGACCTTATTTGGAAGTAGGGTCTTTATGGAGGTAAGCACGTTAAAACGAGGTAATTAGGGTGGGCTCTATTCCAATATGCCTAGT